CCGATCTGTCTCTCCAGCACCTTCACCTGTAGGTTTTGCATGCACCCGCTCACTCAGGTATGTTTGCCATCGTTGTAGTTTTGATTCTTTTGCAGTTCAATTGTTCCAAGGCTGCTTCTGGCAGCCTTAAAACGGAGACCATTATCGCGGGGCGATGGTTCCGAAATCTCCCAGTGTATCACGTGGTACATGCCTTTAAGCCCGTTGCTGTGCTGATGCGTACCTTTGCCGCGTGATTGCCGGCTCAAGTTTACAACAGCTGATACTTATTGTTAGAGTATTGTTTTTAAGGAAGCACGGCGATAGTTGTAGGTAACTTGTTCACGCCGTCCAACATGAACACTGGCAATCCAAATATGTATAGATCAATGCTACAACAAATCAGGGCCTGCGACAACGAAGGCCAGACCCCAACGTCCAAGTAGATTGAAGCTGCGGCACTTCGCATGAAAGGTAATGGCACCGTGCGGGGGGAGATGATGATTCTTTGTAGTGTGGCGTTTTTCCACTCACGCGCGCACTTCAACTTCGTCACTGGAGCGAAGGATCTGCTGTATCACGCGAGCATCATGGGAACTGCGGAGCAGCATCTTGCTGCTTCAGCAGACCCTCCTGTCATCACGGCGACTTGGCAGAATGGCCCTAGGCGCTAGCATGGACATCTAGGGCGGAGAGACCGAACATACTTGGGCTGCACGAGGGAAGAACCTTAAGGAGCATTGAAGCCGCCAAGCAGTAAATCAGAGCTGTCCTTCTGCTTCGTTTGTGTATTTCGTCATTCTGTCCAGGTGGTGCGGCGGTTGTCCATGTGCCAAGAGTGATGCACTAGAGTCGCTAGAGAGGCTATGATCCAGTTTCATTTCCAACTTCCCTTGGGCCAAAGGTTGGACATTCGCGCGGCAAACCCACCCTGGCCCAATCTGGTTTTGGGCCAGCTGCCACGGATGTTTTGCTCTTTGGCAGCGCCAGCCCGAAAGCAGAAGCATCGAGCTAGCCGGACAAGGGAAATGTCTACAGCTACAGCCGAAGTGTCCATGACTGCGCCGCAGGCTTACCGGGACGGAAGCACAACTCGTATCAACATGCCGAGGTAGGTATTGGAGGCTCGGGCTTGCATGACTCCAACTTGAACAATTAGGGTGCGTTGTCTTCGCCCGTCGTCACGGCACAGGTTCCTTTTCGACGGTCCAGGTCTCAGTTTTTAGCGGGTGGCCATTGGTGCAGCTGCTGTCGTTCATGTAGCAAGTTGTGCCTTCCATGTCGGTAGTCAGTAACTACTGAGAGGCGCTCCCCACAAGGATCGTTTTCTTCGGTATGGAAGCTAGTTCGTGGTTATGTAGCTGGTGGTGCCTTACATGTAGGTAGTGTCCCAACTCCCCGCATGAGCGCGCAGACCCCGGCTGGGCAGGAGGAATCCCGCGCCCTGCCCTGGACGCCTTCCATGGGCCCCAAGAGTGCTACTTGATGGCTCAGGGAACTTAGTGAGTAGGTGAGGGTTTCCGGGTTTAGGGTTTAGCCCTACTTGATGGCTCAGGGAACTTAGTAAGTAGGTATAGGTCCGTTTATAAATGGGATAAGCCTACCTAGGGACCTCATATCCTGACTTGTTATAGCCTACTTACCATGTTCCCTGAGCCTTAACCCTAAACATTAACATGTAAACCCTAAACCTTATCACCAACTTACTACGTTCCCCGAACCTTGAGTCCCAAGCTGCACCGAAACCCGCAGCCGCTGCAGCCGCTGGACCCCAAAGGCCGAACCTAGCCCCGAGCACAGTCCTCTTGCAAAGAGGGCCAGACAGCGCGCGACTCACAATGCCAAGAGCCCAATACCACGTGATTCCTTAAATCACATACCCCTTAATTAAGGAATATACCTTCAATCAGATCAGGAATTCTTGCACGTTTTAAGGTATATTCCTCTGTTAAGGGGTATTGGGCTCCCTGGGCATGCGGAAAGACGCAACAGCCCCGCAAAAAGCCCAGCTCAACTGCAGCCTTTAAGTAACCCACTTTCACCGAGAAGGAGTTGAACGACCCCAACCCTCAGCGTCCAAAGTACCAAAATATGATGTACTTAGGGTTTCTATGTAACATGATTTTTGTGTATCTGCTCGATATTTGGGTACCTCGACCCTTAGGGCAAGTGCTCTGAATGACTTCACCTCAGGCCATGGCAACGCTGCCAGAGGTCACCATGGGATTTCCGTCGAAGTTTTTTCTTGGTGGTTGGTATGCTCAGGAGGAACCTCATGGTCAGCTTTTTGTAGGGTCGAGGCTTTTGGAGGGGCCGTGCAGATCCAAGCCTTCAGTGGGGTTTTCATGACATGGGGTCCTGACAGCTTCAGGGAGCTAAAGCTCTTGAGGATTTGGGCTGGAGTGTGGAACGTAGACGAAGGAGCTTAGGGGATTGACCATTNNTTTCAGTTTTCCCTTTCAGGTACTCGCGAAAACGCTGTGGCAGGAGTAGCGACTGCACTTCGAGCAGCTGCTTCAAGCTTAGGGTTCAGGGTTTAAGACTTTCCAGTCTAAACTCTACACCCCATAATCCAAGCTGCTTTTAATTCCAAATCGGGAGGGCAAGGGAGTTTAGAGTTTAGGGTTCTGGTGTATCAAGTGTATTCCAACACAGAATTGTGACTTCAGCAAGCTAGAACAGAAGCCACTTCCCGCTGAAGAAAGCTAGGGATCCAAGTACCTGCAGGGTGCAAGAATTTTGTTTTGGGGTTTCTATCAACAAGACCGCATAAGCATAAGAATCCTACACGTAAGGATTTCTAGAATCCACCAGAGTGTTGGGTCCTCATCTTTGGTCTTGCAGGCCCCTAATTTTTTTTTATCAAAGTCAGTTACAGGTGAGGACTTGCAGAGGAGCCCTTTACCTTACGGGAGTAGTATGGAAGGCCTATGCTTGGAGGTCCAGGGGAGTTATAAGCGAAAGAAATCAATTATGATTGCAGTCAGAACCAAATTATAGCTGTGGTTACTGTACTTATAAGTACACTGAGCCTCGCAAGATGTCGGCTGACTTGGGAGGCCAAGGAGGAGCAATGCGTGCGCGTGCTGCAGGACGTGGCTGCCTTTGGTTATAGCTTGCGGGATTCACTAACAACAGTAGGCGAAACGTGACCTGAATTCCAAAGCACGAAAAGGTCTTGAGCAATAAGGACCGTAAGAAGGATTCAGGATTCTGTTAAAGATACTCCAATGTACTGAAACCCCAACGTGTTGGGGTGCGCCCATAGAGCAAAGGTTCGTGGCAAGCGCACGCAGATCTGGTTAGCCGCAAGATCTAGCGACTGTGGGGACGTCCTGCGGTAGCTCAGAGATCACCCCATGATGAAAATGAAAAGGTCCGACGCTTCTGCAGCCACAACTGGCAGAGCCTTTGGGTTGAGATTTCGGTTTCGCACTGGTCAGCACGCCTCCGGGGGAGGTGCCTCGCCCTAAGGGTCCAAAGTACCTAAATATGAAGTGTTTAGCGCGTCTATATTGCCCAAACCAACCGGAACCCACTTTTTTGTAGGTTCCTCTATAAATTCTGCATAGGGCTCTATAATTGGAGCCTAGAGAAAAGTGGGTTCTGGTTGGTTGAAGCCAGGAATTGTAAATTTGGGTACTCGGACCCTTACAATTGCACTGAGGCGCATGCATTGTTTGGTTGAGATGCTGTAGGGACTTGGCGATTGTAGTTTAGGCTTTAGGGACTATCGTTTTTTGCGGGGTGCAAGAGTCATGAGCGCTGCTGCTTTCCCCTCCCGGAGGGTACCTCAGAGAACCTACAGGCTCTTCCTGGGACTGTGTTTGCCTACCGTTTTGGGGGTTATTCCGTGTGCTTAACGGGTAGATACTACTAAGCGGTAGGCCTGGGACTCGCTTTTCCTACCGTTTAGTAGTTGTTTACCTTTTAACTACAGGGTATAAGCGTGCTTCTAGTTCTCCCTTGAACCCTACCTGAGACTCTCCCTACCTGCCGTTTAGGGGCTTTACCTTTAAGCTACAGGGTATAACCTATAAACGGTAGGTAAACAGAGTCACAGGTTGAGCTTGGGCTGAGCTCCGTTGAGCTTCGAGCAACATGACAGTGGAGATTTGCGATCGCTTTGTGATGCTGTCGCAGAGGCGTAAGGAGTTTTCAAAGTCTGCTGGGAATTGACATCCTTTCCCTGATGACTTGAGCATTTTATTGTTGAAGGCGGCTCCGAGGGAGCGGAGCTATTCTCAGATACCGACGCAGTCACTTTTCCTCCATCTGTTTGCAGGAGCTTGCTGCAGCGCATGAGGAGGCCGAACCTTCTGTTAAGCTGCGAGAGGTGTTCCATGCATGACATCATGCTGAGACTGAGACATTGTAGGAAATGGCTACAGGAAAGGCTGCAGCAAGTTTCGCGGCACTCCTAAATCAAGAGACATGTTGGGCCGAGGATGATTTTCAGCAACTTTTGCTGTCATCATGTCTGATGACTCATGGGGTAGGCCTGGCAGATGCGAAGCTCTCTTTGGAACATGTTTACATGTTCATATTACTCCTTCTAAAGCGAAACGTCTCCAGGAAGCTAAACTCGCTTTCCGATCTCCGTTTAAGAGTTCCATATTACTTCTTGGTAAATCAGATTTCTAAGAAAATTGGAATGGTCAATGGTACAGGAAAAGAGGAGACTACATTATTGGTGGTAAGTGAGATCTTTAAGGAAATTGCAGCGGTGTCTCCACTTTTTAAGAGCCAAAGAGCTGATCGACTTGCTCCGCTGCAGGCTAGAAGCCGAGAAACGGCGCAGGAGGCGCTCACCATTTGCTTACTGGTGGCTAATAGGGAATAAGCGTTTAGGGTTTAGGGTCTGGGATTATGTAGGGATTAAGTATTTCCATATTCCATACTAGCAGCCAATGAGTTTGGCCATGGGTCGAAGTTAGCGTTCCCTACTCCTGTAGTTTCCTTAGAAAATTGTGTTCATTTACATTTATACAAATCCTAGGAAGCAAATTTGTTCGTGGGGTCCTACTGTTGATGGAGGAAATCTTGCA